GCAAGCTTGGCACCCTTCCACATCTCCGTACTGCACCCTTATTTAGTCACAGATCTGTGCTGAAAAACTAAGTAGCCTGTATATTGCCCTCTAATATTTTATTAACGTTTATATTACCATGTCTGCTGTTAGTATAGTTACTTTGTATTGTGTGTCTCTTCACCTTGCTGTCATGTCTGTGGGTTCAGTTTTCCTAAATGTTTGTTACTGCTTTAACATAACAGAGTTTTATTTTGGAGTACTTCTGAAAGAGCACCATCTAGATGAGCCTGTTTGTTCTTCTACATCTAGAAGCTCTTATGAAAGCCTTGTTAGTGCCATCAACTCTGTCCTATGGTCATTGGTCTCTTAGGGATAAGGACTAAGTCTTCTTCCAGGCTTCAAAGTGGGTTGAGTACACATGGAACATAAAAGACATTACTGCAAAATGATGAGGAAGTTAGTGACTGCTGCAAAGAAATGATCCCACACCCTGGCATATTGTTAGTTCAGACGCACAGTTCTTTATCAGGGTAAAGAAGTGAGAGATTAAAAGTATTGTTATTGTTTTGATAATCCCCCATATATATGTAAACATCTAAACATAGACCAAAGCAAACCTATAGAAAGCTTGTTTGCATCACCTCTGAGGTTCTGACTTGCAACCTTTAAAAGCCATCTCTTTCTCTATATAATTATCAAACACTAAGGGTGTGTAACTGTTTTATTAATGGATATCAACTGGAATCCATCCATCCTAGGAAAGCATTGCCAAAAGAGTTTTTAATAGATTCTTTTTTTGAGGATATAAGATTTATATTCAGTATATTAAAGAATCATAGAATTGCTTGGTTTGGAAGAGACTTCAAGTATCATTAAATTTTAACTGCCCCTGCTACAATTAGTGTTGCTAACTGCTAGATCAGACAACCCGGGGCCCCATCCAACGTGGGCTTAAACACCTTCAGGAATGGGGTATCCACAACCTCTCTGGGCAACCTGTTTTCTCTCCAAGAAAGACTTCCATTTGATATCTAATCTTACTCTTCCACACATTAGTTTAAAACTATTCCCCCTTGTCCTATCACTACCCATATTAAAAGTTGATTTCTCTCCTATTAATACTTTCTCTTTAAATATTAGAAGGCCTCAATGAAGTCTCCCTGCAGCCTTCTGTTTTCCAGACTGAACAAGACCAGTTCCTTCAGCCTATCTTGGTAGGAGAAGTATTCCAGCCCTCTGATCATCTTTGGAGTTTGCATTTTAAACTGACTAAGGTCATTAGCGGATTCCTTTCTTTCAGTGAGTGAAACCATCCACGGGTAAAAGAACCAAGAAAACTTTGAGGATTCCAGAAGAAATGGTTAAGGCCGATTCTTCAGAAAAATGTGCGTTTATGTAAAGTTGCAGAGAATTATGCACTTTGTGCTTGGTCTGTCTCTCTTTCAGAGCTATAGATTCACAGACCATTATCTCTTGTCTTATCCGTTACTGTATGAAACAAGCAGGAAGAAAGGAATTCAGACAGAAAAGGATTCACTTTCAAAAATACCAACAATAAGATACTAGAGAAAATATTTTGGTCTGTCTTTACATATTGCATGGACTGCAATGGGGAGAAGTAGATATAAGCGGCTGCACACTAAGTTAATTTCTGATTAAGTACAGCATGGAAACAGAAAGAACCAGCTTATATCTGGTTGAAGCTTATAACCTTGTTTAAGTAAGTAGTACATCCTCCAGGTTTCAGCAAACTGAACTTGAAACTTGAGTACAGCTTTCAAATTCATTATAAGCATACAAACGTAAGTGGGATTCACATGCCTGAAGTTTCTCTAACCTGTATAAAAATTTAAGTGTTTTAAAATACATTTAAATTGTTTTCTGACTCACTCTAAATATTTTCTTCAATTCATTCTGTGCCCTGACAAGAATAATTTACCTAGAGATGACAATAATCTCCATAAATATAGTTAGAAAGACTCAAGGAGTACTCAAGGAGTGCAAATACATTTTGCAGAAGTTTAGAAAGATATCAAGCAATCAATCTGCAGTTTTGGGTGGATTTGCTGTGTCTATGCTTCATATTGTTCAGTTTTGATGTGTTGAACTCCTTTCATTTCATTATTCAGAAAAAGATTTTAAAAGTCATGAAAGAATTGAAGATGGAAAGAAAACTTTAGGAATTAAAACCGCTAAAATTGCTGAGAGGAAAGAATGCAGAGCAAACTGTGGAAAGTAAATACAACAGCCTGGAAAAAAAAAAAAAAGTTTGTCATTACATTATTCAGTGGAATAATGTGGGCACAAGTAGCTCTTCTTAACTGCATGGATGATGAAAATTATGAACATCAAAATCACAGACAAAATGAATGTAGTGGAAAAATTAAAAGCAAATCAAGATGAAAATATAGAATTACAAGACTGAGAATTCCAGAAAACAAGTGTAATTTTGAATATCGGAATCATCCAGTTAAGAAAAAGATCATCAATGACATAACACTGTGTCACTTCCTTAACAGTTAATGAAGTGAAATAACTAGTTTCAATATAGAGTATGAATAATAAATTTTGAGAATCCAACCAGGTTGTAAATTCATTAAGAAAGCAGTCTGGCAACAGAAATACACCAGGATTTTACAATTTGTTTAGCCCCTCCACAACAGCAAATCTACTGTAGGACTTCAGACATAAGATAAAGAGAAAAGCTTTTTTTTTTTTTTTAAAAAAAAAAAAAAAAAAAAAAAACAAAAACAAAAGAAAAAAAAAACATGAATTTGATCTCTTATCAGCAGTCTGACAGAGGAAAAACAACCTTCTACAGAAAAAAACTGGTCTTCTCTAGAGTTCTAAGGGGAAAAGAAAGTTGTAAAAGGAGCCCATACACAATAAAGTAAATCCACGAAGATTAGTGCCCTTTCCTCCTTTCATCTTCGCAAACAGCAGTTCAACATTGTATTTCTGTGTAAGCCACTGGTACTGTTACATATGAATTTTGCCAGCTTTACCCTCTGAGAACTCTAATGAGTATAGTTGAAGGAGAGTATCTGTCCTTCTCTATCACTTGTCCATAAACCTGGGAATTATAACCTTGAATTCCTCGAGCACTGTTTCCTGTTGAGCTGAGCTTGTCCCTTTCAAAGTGTTGCTAGTGCCTTGCAGGTGTGAGAGACATGACAACTTGGGTTCATTCCAATTATTTTACACCTTCTTGCTTTCTCTGAATTTTGTGTCTTACCCTATGATACATAGTGACAGCCACGTCAGTTTTCAGAACCTGTAGCCATATCTCACAATACTGTAAATCACTGGAACATATCATGCTGTGAGATGTTGCATAGAAGAGAAGAAACAAATACGGCTACAACTCAAAATTACAAAATGAAGTACATTACACAGAGTACCACAGCAGTACTCAGAAGAGCACTAATGATACACTGTGATGTTTTAGAAGAAAGATTCAAAGAAATATGGTGAAATAAAGCCAATGTACAAATACTTTGTGTTTACCGATACTAGAAGTATCTTCATTAAAAGTAAAAAAAATTATTAGATTATTCAGTAAAACCTAGAAAAATCACTGATGTGACTTCAAGTAAACAATTAGTAGCAACTAATTACATAATATAACAAAACTTCTGAAGATCATACGTGCAGGTACAGGTTTCTTAAAACCCCATACTGAGAAGTAAAACCCCATACTGAGAAGTAAGCACAAAACAGCTAGCTTGGAAAATTGTGATTTGTAGCAGGATGCCAAGGGCTGATACTGATAACTCCAGAAAAAAAATAAAGACATAAAGATAACCACACTGCAGTCAGATCACCTCTTGATTCACCACTGGAACAACAGTGGAATGAATGAGACGGGACATGGAAGATTGATCTCTCCTTCTGCAACATTTTCTCAGACTTCACAGAGTTAGCATCAATACCCATTCACTATTTGTGTCACAGAGCACTATTCCTGGATACTTTTTTTCCTTTTTTAAAAATATAAAACCATAGATCTCATTTTCAGTGAACTAAGATGATACCATGACACAGGTGAAACATTTTATTTAGATAAAGAAAGGATGAAATGACCTAGGAGAAGTGCCAGCAACAAGCAAATTAAAAATGGAAGAAAATGAGCTCTACCAAAATGTTACGAGCAGCAGCAGCAGCAGCAGCAGATTATATAACAACTTCAGTTGCCCATGAATATGATAGACCTGTGCAAATGTGATAATTTCCAAAAGTTTGTGACATGTTTTGGAAAAGAGCACTCTGCAGGACGCTCATCAGATTTCTTATCTTTGAGTGGATTAGGAGAATAAGAATTATAAAGTGACTTACTCTGGGACTAAACAAAAAGTAGTCATATTCTAGGTATCAATCAAGTAACAAAGCAACTCAAATTCAAATGATTTTTTTTCTGATGGAAGGAAAATATCACTAATGAATCAAAGCAATTACTGTATTTTACAAGACCACATGAGAACTAAAAGATATTCTTTATATTATTCCATTCACTAAGGAATATTATAACACTCTGGAGAAAGTAAAAAGAAATCCAAAAATCAACAAATACTCTTTCCACAAAAGAAATGTAAACTGAGAGAAGATCTTAGAGAGAGAGAGAGAGAGAGAGAGAGAGAGAGAGAGAGAGAGAGAAAACAAAAAACAAAAAAAACCACACAACTGATACAAAGGTTTGGGCAATGACAAAATTTCTCCATGAAATATTTCTGAAAACACATGCAGAACCTGGTTCTAAACTGAGGAAAAAGAGATGTCCAGGTCAGAAAGAAATAGAGAGAAGAAAGAATTAAAAAAAAAAAAAAAACAACAGAATTAAAATATAATAAAATCATAGAATGGCTTGGATCAGAAAAGACTTCAAGGATCATCAATTTCTAACCCCCCTGCCACAGGTAAATTTTAGGTATGTTAGGCAGGGCATAATCTTGTATAAACCTATCAGCTTAATTATCACTATTTTCCCACATAAAGATTCTTTAGAAGTAGAAGTGAACAAAGAATAGAGAAAGAAATGCACGTATATCAATCAACTTGAAATATACTTTACAGCAATGAGGTCTAGCACACAGCATATATCCTGTTCAAGAGTACACTTTTATCAGTGAAAATTTCCAATGTATATATATTGTCTGCTGCATAATACAAATATGTTGAAAAAAAATAATTTTTCACAGATAAATGGTAATACAAAAAATAAAATAAATACAAATCCGTTCAGTCTCAAAGCATTCAGTTTGAAAAGAAAGCCTCAAGATCATGCTCAAAATCAAGCCACAACTTGGTCTATTCAATAATACTGATTTATATGTTCTATTTGATGACTACCACAAAGCTTTTCCCAGAAATAGTTACACTGCAAAAGGAGCATACAGCTCTCTTTATTTTTTTAATAAATATTTTCTTACTTAATATAATCAAATCAATTTGTATCACAGCCTCAAGATACTTTCACTTCAGACCAGTTTGAGAAGCTGGCACCCTAAGCATCAAAGTCTTTATCTGATAAATTACATTTAATCTGGAAACTAGTAAACTCTCCACATAACAAAGATGAGTAATGTCCTGTACAGAGTTTATAAAAATTTTCTTTGGAATGTCTTTAAGTAAGAGTCATGACAAACATAAACGAAGATCATGTAAATTAACTCTGGGAGCACACTGCTAAATGGTTATAAATGATATGATGGTGGCAAAAGTGAACAGAGAGAAAAAACTTGAAGGAATGCCTTTTCCATTTGTCAAGATATGGTGGGAAACATCCCTGCTGCTACTTATTACATTGATTTCACCTCAGTACTGAAACTGTAATGATACATTTTGTCCTGTCTTTGTTTATGTATATATACAGTGACCAGAACAGTTAAGTCCTTTTTGATCTCAACTTCTTGCCTTTTAACAGTACAGATAACAGCGAGCAGAAGGCAATTTCCTTAATTCAAAGGTGAACTATTGCTTTCATTGGTGCTGATTTTAGTCTTGAAACTTCTGCTGTGCTGAACAAAGTTAATTGTTATAATGTTGCTGAAATAAAGAAAACACATATTAGAAACGAAAACACTTTAAAGAACATAATTGAAAGAATCTAAAAGAATTGATCAGCCAGGTGGTCTAGACTACTGGAAGAAATAGAAACTGAAACCATACCCAAATACGTAGGATGGATATGTTTGTATTGGTTTCTCATTTTTCCTCAGTTTATAATTTATACACATTTGAATTATTTATTCATCCTGAATCAAAAGTAAGTGCAAACCTGCCAGCAGGTATTTACTAAGTATATTGAAAATTTGTAAAATACCACACAGGACACATTTAAGACACGCTTTAAAAATAACAGATTGAAAGTGATTTTAGGGTGACAGACTTGAAGAATAATTTCAGTCTTGGGTAATGAAATGGGAGCTGCCTAAAAAAAAAAAAAAAAGTGACTTACAGAGATGTTAAATAGAACAACAACAGAAAAGATGGCTAATTCATTACCCTAACATTCATAGGTTTTTACAATACTGAAATAATGAGTAGAAATTGTGAATATGCTTAGTATCTGAAGGGGTGAGAGAATAAGAAGAATGAAGATATGACACTCCATATGTTGTTACAGTTAGTTACTGAGATTCAGTTCCATGTTGGGCCCCAAACTGCTCACTAAACTGAAACAATAGAAAACGTAAGCACAAATGTCAAAATAAAAATAAGCTGATGAATATGCACATGCATTTGATACTCAATAAGAAAAAATAAGTGTCAGCAGCTAATTTCCTTTGTCTCTCCTGATTGGTGGGATATAAGCAATCCTTTTACCTCCTTGAGATCATAAAACATTCTTTGCTAAGTCTCAAAAAGTTTGTGTTCATTGAGAAAGGCAGCACGTACATTTCTATTGTTTTGAGTTGGATCAGTATTATAACTTTTATCTTATTGACTACTGCATTTTTGCAATCCTGTTCTCTGTAAGAGCAGAAAAGACAAACTGTTTATCGGAATGCTATGTATTACACAGGATTTTGATGTTAATAAATAAATAAATAAATAAATCAAGGAAAGAAACATATAGATTCTGCTATCATCGTGAATATCTCACTCAAAGATTGCATTTTCCTGCAGTTGCACTTCTGGGTTTTTATTTTATTTCTCCTCTATGACCAATGATAGCACTTTCTGAGCTACTAAATTATTCCACCCACCTCAGGAAGATAGATTATTTTTTGAACTTATAGTTGCACTAAGTTGTATCAGGATATTTTTTGTGTGTCAGAAAAAGAAATCTAGTTTTTGTTTCAGTACTCACAGAGACACAGATTCTATTCTAGCTTAAGGTGCTCATACCACACCCATCACAGTGACAGCAAGAAATGGAAAGAGAACAATATTTTCTGCTCTCTGATTATAGTGGAAGCTGCTGCCTTTTTTTTTTTTCTCTCCTCTCTGTGAGTTACTTGTAGATGCCTGGTTTTGCAGTGAGTTAACACAGTGAAGTTGATTTCAACAGAAGGAAGGCAGTGAGAAAACCAAGTCACATTTAAAACCTGGGTTCAGTGGTGTCTGTATAAATTTCATATATCAGTGGAATTCCATTTCTTTCCACTTTGTGCACCAGTAAGACTGGTTCATAAAAGATGCAGAATATAGACATTTAACAACGTTGGAATTTCCATTTACTGTGATCCTGCAGAAAGATATAAGTGCTGTGCTCAAAATGTGAAAGAGATCAATGTCTCACAACCTGTACAGCAGAGGTCACACAGGTATATTCTATAACCTGAAATTGAAATAGTATAGTCTAATAAAGCACAGTTACATCTGTGCACCTAAAGAAATCCTAAAATTGCGTCCTCCCTCGGGAAGTATTAATGATTCCTCCTGACTACAGTGATATCAACGTTTCTACTGGTCCTACTTAGAAAAATATATCATAGCTCACATACTTTGTAATTTAGAAGTGAAAGATCTGTTTCCTATGGAAAATCCCAAAAATATTATTTCATATCTATCTCCTAAAAATTCTGTTACTATGCCTCTGCTCGGGATTGAATCACCACTCCTTGCCTAGACATTCTGCTTTCATCTCCTACCATGTGTCCTTTCACTAAGCATATCCTTCTGTTTCCTATCCGTCTAACATATGTCCAGACTCTTAGCTGGTTCTTTCTCTGTTTTAACAGATTTTTACACCTGGCCTGAAACACAGCATCTGGAACACCTGATGGCATTAATGAAACCTGTGATTGATTTTGGATCAAAGGTTTTCTTGGTAGCAGCTATCGTTAGCTCTCAATGTATTCCACAATAAGCCATCTTTTCATAGCAAGGATTTTCAAATAAGCCCCCCTAATCTGTATTTGAGATTTACATAGCCTCTGCCTTTTAATGTTTAAAGTACAATTTGCATAATGGACATATCTTGTTACCCACATGCCTTTAATTTCTGATATGCATGAGTTTCCTTCAAGTGCTCATTCCATCACAACACTGTGAAGCAGCAAGGTATAATGCTTATTTCAGAGACTGGGGAATGAAAAAGGGAAAGTTAAAATCTAGGAAACACCTAATTCAGGCATTTATAATTATTTTCAGAATCTAGATGTCAATGATTGATTCATCTCAATAGATTTTCTGTAACATCTGGCAACTACTTTTAATCAGTAAATTAAATACCTAGGGTATATGCTTCTTTTGTAGAATGTCTTGAAATTGTAGGTGTCTGACCAACTACCACCGAGTTGTCTTGTCTCACCATGTACCTCATCTTCCTCTATCCTTTTTTCTGTCTCACCCTCTCATGTGTAATTAGTACTCTTGCTCACAAATGCCTGTTTTCCAAAAGCTTGTTTTGCAAACTTCTAAAAGAAACATGTTTTGTTAAAACTCCAAAATATATTTGTACAACCTTTCTTTTCTTATTGACTTATAAGCTCTCAACAAGGAGCTTTCAGAAGGCATATTACCTTTTTAATATACTAGGGTTTTTTTGGTTTTTTTTTTTTTTTTTTTAAATGAGCTCTCATTACCTTATATCTTCTTTTTAAATTGCTATATTGTGGGAATACAAGAAAAACTGTTCAGAGCAGAAGCTGTTGAGCAAGATAAACAGCATGAGAATCAAGGACACCTCTAGAAGAAGAAAGAACATCTCACAGCTCTGATTGGATAAGCGCCTGTGTGAACAGTTGAAAAGTGTTTTGTAGAATGCTCTATTGACATATAGGAATAGATGGGAAAGCTAGAAAAAGAAAACTTGTGAAGGTATATAAGTGATGTGAGAACTTGTAATAAATGATTTGGATCATTCACATCTGAGTCCGTGCATCATACGCTGCACTATATATGTCTAAAAAGTAGCACAGATTTCTCCTATTTTCCCTGCTTCTCCTTCATCCTGCCTGTAACTACACATCATAGTTTTTCTACAAATGCTTTCCCACTATATATGTAATATTACATTAGTCATGTAGCAAAAGTTTCTGTCATTACTCAGAATGCAGAAAAACTTTAAGTCTCTTTGATGCGTTACAGCTCACATCACATCACATCATTGTGAGTCACGCAAAGACAGAAGCAGATATAACAAGACAGTGCATCAAATCTCTTCAGGCTTATACTCAAGGTGCAAAAACAAATGCTATCACAGAAGCTTGAAAGGCTGCTTTATAAGACTCATCACCAGAAAGCATGCATCATGTGGCAGTGCTGTACTTTAAGTGCTTCTGTAAAACACTAATACATTGCTTGATAACATAATGGCAGCACAAACTTACTGACATGGTGGAATGAAGTGTTGCTAAACATAAAAAGACAACAGAGTAAATAAATCTAATAGAACGAGTATGCTGTAAGGAACAGTATCAGAGAGATGCAGCGTTTTACTAACACTTTACCTTCCTACTGATTTCTTTGTTTACAACCCTGCTAAATAGCAACTCATTTAGAGTACATGCTATTTTCACAGCACTCCCTGAGCTCTGCACATCCAAGAAGAGACCATCTGTTCACTTTTGAAAGCCTTATAAAAGAGGATGATTCTTGTTTGCCCAAAGTTTCAGATTCCTTCCTAAAGATCTTACACTCTTAAAAACTGTCCCTCCCATTATTTACTGGTAAATTATTACAGTGCAGTACCAGGTTTAATTTGCCTTATTAAAGCACTTTCAAGTCTTCGAAAGATAACAGGCAACATTTGTTCAGTGTGTGCTTTGGTGGGACACAGCGGTCAACTATTGTGCAAGATCTGCAATTACACAACTAACAGCATTCTAGTCTGATTCTTTCAGCATAGCTTATTGGCTGACTGCTTATTAATGATAGTGAGTACAATGTCAGTGTACTAATTACAAAAAATTGCAATATTACTCTACTTTAAAGTTATGAAAACACATATGTAAATATTGAGTATGATACTTCTTTTTCCTCTAGAACCATCTTTATGTTGCACCACTTAAAAACATTTTTTCAAAATGTTTGTGTACAAATGTCTACCTTATAAGAACAGAAATTTTATGCCAATTGATCATACCATTTCAACACTGAACGTGAGAAAAAAAGTGAAATATAATTGATAGCAAAGGGCGTCTCAAGAAAAAAAAAAAAAATAGTGAATCGGATGAGAACTTTTGAAAGAAGTTTGATGTCGTAGTGATTCCTGAAAGGAAGGAAGTAGCTTTCTAGTCTTCACTCATTAATTTATCATTAACATCAATGCAGTTTGAAGGATTACATGCATTTAAAGACTCACTTTGGAGAAAGAAAAAAAAAAAAAAAAAAGCAGTATCTTGGTTCCCCAAGAACAAAAAGAAAATACAGGTTTATTAGTGCCTACCTGATGTAGTAAGAAAGATACAGAGCAAGCTCCTCAAATTGTCTGTGAACAGACAATTTCACGTTTTAACATTAAAAAGTCCATTCTCTGAGTTTGCTGTAAGCACCTATTGTACAAGTGCCAGAAGGCAAGGTCTTTCACTCAAGTTTAAAAAAATTGGGCTTCTGTTCTTAAAATATAACAATGAAAGTTAAGAATAAACACTTTTCCTTTGTAGGACACTGATTGAAGAGAGGACCTTTTAAATAGCTTTCAGCTAAAAGCAAGTTCAGAAATTGTATATTGATTCAAAAACCCACAACAGCATTTGAAAATGAGAGTTCTAGAAAGATGTGGCACTTTTAAGAACTAAGCTTTATTCTTTGTCATCTTCTGCAGTTGTACTTTTTCTGCATGAATAAAAAATCTCTCTTCAAAGCTATAATTCCTTGTGTATTTCTACCATTTTTTCATAAATAAAAACTGAGAGAAAGAAAAGAAATAAAACAAGGCAGATGATTCTCAGTAGTTTTTTAGTTCCTGACACTTTGGGAACTAAAGACTATGGAAGAGTAGAGCCAGTGTCTGGGCATGAGAAACCTCTTAGCAGCCAGGTTAAAGGAATTTTGTTTATGCAGCAGTGTCCACTCAGGGCACTGAAAATTACTGAAATAATAATTCCTTTCCTCAAAAATAAGGAATTATGAAGTATTTATACTTAAGAAAAGAATTAAGGAGACTCCTGAGTCTCCTTAAGTAGCCTTGCAGTGCTGTAATGGTCTTGTGGTTTCAGTAGTCAGCTTGAAGCTCCCTCTGAAAAAAAACAAAAAACAAAACAACAACAACAACAACAAAAAAACACACAAAAAAAAAAACCCACACATTGAACTGAAAAAGCTGGGTCCAAATTCCAACAGCCCATTTGAAGTACAGAATGGAAGATTTCACCTTGATGTCTATGCTTACATGCGTGCTTGTGTCTACGTTCAATTTATTTTTGGTGCCCTTCAGGATGTTCTATTATCAGAAGTATAACACACTAGAAAATAGTAGTGAAATTAAAGCATTTTATAGGAAAAATGTCAGAAACACCAAAGAAATCAAATTCCCAGTGAAGATTAATGATAGTGTTCTCATATACACCAAATGGATGTATATAAAAGTTTCCCTCTTGTGAAACTAAGTGAAAAACTAAAGTGAAAGAAGGATTAGAAAAGCAAAAAGGAAAATGTTATTATGGGTTCTTCTTAAGAGGAAATAATTTTTATCACTTAGTGTTGTTTTTTCAAAACAATTCAGTAATTAGAAAACTTATAGAATAATAATCACAGCTTAACATTCTGAAAAGGCCTTCCATGAATGTAGCTATTTCAACTTATGCACTTCTATGAAATGGGAAAAGAGGGGGGAAAAAAGATGCCAGCGTATTTCTGAGAGTTTTTTTAGAGAGGTTCTTGAAAGAACCTCCTCTACCTTCGCCCATGATTTATTGTTTAATAAATCAGTTCCATATTGCTGTGTCACTCAGGCACAAGGAGAAAGAGAGATGCTTCTATAGTCTTAGGTGTTTGACTTCAGAATGTTAAAGTGTACTTGAAAGTTGGTGGACTAATTCATGCTGGTCCAATGATGGAAACACCCATAAGATCACAATTAGCAAGACATTGAATTCTGCTGGAGATACAGAGCTTCTGAAATCCTATAATGTCACAGCATCCTGACAACGTTTTCTCAGAAACAATTTTTTGCAAGGAAAGGTGACATAAGATCTACATAGGAAAACAAACATCCTAGAAGAAAGAAGCAATTTAGAGAATCCTTTTTTACTTGTTTCATGTATGGAACTGTTGGGTCACAGCCTAAACCACTGACTGATTACCTGGTGAAAGGGCTGGCTCAGCCCTGGGAACAGAGATGAAGACAATTTACCTGTGTGACTGGAAGGGGTGGCTCCTGGCTCCACCTTCTTAGACTGCATTTAAGGGTTGACTGCCATCCTTGGATCTCTGATTAGAGATCCCTCCCTTGTGGAGTTTTCCCCTGTAAGCCTAGATCCTCAGAGACAGATGAACATTCCTTTCCTGTTTGTCCCTTTTGCCATTCCACTTCTGTATCACCTCTCCACTACACTAATCTTTCTGACTAACATTTCTGTTAAGACAAAATAACAATATTATCAACAACAGTATCCATAGAGCCTTTAAGGCTGTAAAATCTGGAATCAATGAACTTCTTTGTGCTCTACCAAAACTTCAGTCTTCCCCCAACTGATTAAAGTTATTCAATAGCTGCAATCTTCCATTTTAAGATTGAAGAGAACGTAAGACTAACCAAATTGCCTTTTAATGGTATGTATCTTAAACATCAAATTGTGCTTTACTTTCCATAAATCTCAAGATTTTAACTTGAAGTATAAGGCATTCCTTCTTAACTTAATTATTTGATAAGATTAGAAATAAATTATTAATCTGAATCTCAAAGAGATCTCTATGTCTTCACGTATTAAGAATGTAATCTTCCTGTGCTAGTGGAAGGAGAGAAGGGAGAGGCTATAGTCTACAAATATCTTCAATGACAAGGAAAATCTGTTTCAGACATACTTCATATTTGAGATATTTCTTCGTAAATTCTCTTTCCCCCTCTCTCTAGTTTCTATATGAAGTTGGCTTTGTCTGGCCAAGACACGAACAAGAGAAGAGCTAATTAACGTTGCTCCTTCTGTTAGCACATAAATAAATAACAGTAGGCATTGGAGGTCAGTATAGCACAATCTTATCCTCTCTCACAATACTGCCAACTGAATTAGTAGTTTCAGCACTACTTTAGTCCTAGCTGGATGAGAGACTTGAGCAAATGGTAAGCGCTAGCACCACTGCAATATGGAGTCCTGTTCTCTGCCCTTATGGGAAAAGTGAAGGCAGTACATATGACAGCCCACAGAAATCAAACCAAAGTGAGCAACATAAATACAGATCACACAACATTTTGTGAATATTTATCAGCATCTGTTGGGAGAGCATGGCATAGTGAATGTGCTCACAAGCCAGAGCAAAATTGTTGGCCATGAAAAGGAATGGATGGTTTATTAATGGATGGTTAAGAAATTAGTAAGTTTTCATACCACACATCTACCTAAGTTACTAATTAAATTAATTAATTTCATTCATCTCAGTGCTGCTCACTGGTAATACGGCAGACTCCTTTATTACACTATTTTAGAGTCAGCTTTTGTCTTGTCTCAAAACAGAGAGGAATGAGAGATTCAAAAGCCAAGAGAACAGTTCAAAGCAGAGCTAAACTGTACTTAGATACTGCATTAGTGACAGAATGAAATTATGATAAGGAGTAAAGAATAACATTAAATAAGCTTCTAACAGAATCTAAGCATGTTCACCCCTTATGTTATGTGCGAACAAATGGAAAAGCCATTGTCTTTATGAATGGCCTGGATTAATAATTGTGCTGTTAAAATACATGTGTTTCTGCGCTGCCAATGGCTTCCAGAAATAAGCTCAACTTTCTATTTCTAATTTAATGTAGCAAAATTATCAGATGCTTATTGTTAAGGATTATGAAGCAAATTTATGGATTAGGTTAGTTTTCCACATATTTCTTTGGTTATTCTTTTTTTATAGTAGTCAATTTATAACTCCTAGAAAAAAAAATAATAATTTAAAAAAAAAAAAATCAGACTAGCAAATCTTGTCATTACTGATTAAAAAAACAAAACAAAACAAAACCAAAAACAGTGCTGTTTGGATAAAAAAAAACTGTCAGGTCTTGATACATCTAGCACTAAGTCAAGATTCTGTTTTGCAAACAGCCATGCGTGATTGTTGCAATGGAGTTCCACAGGTGTGCATAATTTTATTCATTCACAGGAGACCTTCAAGTGGTAATACCCTTTATTTATTGTTAACTTGAGATAAATTTAAAACAATAGTTGAAAGCTGAAAAAAAAAAAACAAAAAAAAAAAAAAACCAAACTGCTTTATCTGTGGAAATCCTTAAATTTCAGGTCCCTTTTCTTTGGTTACCAATAAGTCTTACAAAAATATACCTAAATTATGTATTATAAGTTATGTTATAAATACACAGCTCACAATGCAGTTTACAGACAAGATGTGCCCCGGGAGCACACAGAAAGGCGTGCTGAGTCTGGAGAGCACAGGAATTTTACAGAGGAATTTAACCCCTAGAGAGCAGGTGTTTCTATGACACATGCCATCACACTGGGAGGCATTCTTAAAAGCCAAATCACAACTATATAGATCACAGACGAAAACATGGCTGGTTTTTTGTTTGCTTGTTTTTAATTCAAATGAACCTTCTCTTTTCTAGAGAAAGAGTATGTTACTAAATCCTAGCATTGAAAGAATCAGTGAACCTGTCATCATGTGCTTCATAGCTTCAAATAACAGCACTTGACTTCAAAATGCTGGGTTAGCCCAACTTATTTAGCTATAACTACAGTAAAGAATCAATAGTAAAGTTTTTTCAAAAATGAAAGAAGACTTCTACAAGAACTTCACAAGATACTTCTATTTCTGGCAAGATTTAAACATCGTAGTCTTTTTAAAAATCTTTTAGTAAGTAAACACATCTAGTTACAGTAGCAGGAATGTTCTGCTATACCCCACGTATACGAGTACAATCAATTATTCAGTTTTGTTGCATGAGTGTCAAGAGCTTCTGCTATGCAAAGATCTGCAGAAACTGGTAACTCTAGGAAATTGTAAGTAGCTCCTATATTGCAGTAAATTTGTTCTTAAAACCATTTTTCTCAAACGTGCAATATGTTACCATGGCACAAGACACTCTTTTCATAATGATGAGTTTTTCATTTTTAGGGTCACCAAAACAAATCTGGTTGTGATTATTCTGCCATAGAAGATATAGTAATGGTAGTGTTGGTTAGAAAGGGACCGATACAGAGACAATGAAGAAGATATTCGTTTCTAATATTTGTTCCTACCAGGAACAAAAGTATTGCTATCTAACTGAGACAGTAATACTTTTGAAGTACTTTGAGAGAATTTATATGAAAAACAATTCTTTCAGGACCTAGTTATCTTTGGCAGTAGTACCTAAGGTATTTTCCTCATTGTCAGGGAAGAAAAGAAGGAATAATCACAGTGCAATATAATTTGTTCAGCAGTGAAATTACTTTTGATAGGTTCTTTGTGATACTAGAGAAAGTATCATTAAGAATATCAACAATCATATACAGGAAAGGTTGACTCACCCAACTGATGATAGGGGTTTAGGCCATGGACACTCCTTCTCAGAAAGCAGCTAAAGGAGACATCCTCCTTTTAGAGGCTAGTCCCTAAATGTGCCCAGGGAAGGATTGACCCAGGGCTTACCACTCCCAGTCAGGTGGGAAATGCACACCTGTGCTTCCTGCATCAGACACACCCCTCACTAAGTGATCCAGTATGACCTTGAATGTCTCCAGGGACAGGGCATTCCCTACCTCCAAGGGCAACCTGTTCCAGTGCATCATCACTCTTATTGTAAAAAAACCTCCTTCTTTATGTCCAGTCTAAATCTCCTCTCTTTTAATTTGAAGTCATTTCCCCTTGTCCTTTCACAGAAGACTCTGTTATAGCCTGAAACCTTCTTTCTTACAGCCTCCTTTAGATATTTAAACACCATTCCCAGGTCTCCTCAGATCCTTCTCTTCTCAAGGCTGCATAGCCCCAGCTCCATCAGACTGTCCTCATAGGGGAGGTGTTTCATATCTTGGATAATTTTTGTGGTCTTCTTCTGGACGTGCTCCAACAGGCCCATATCTCTCCTGTGAAGAGTGCTCCACATTTGAAGACAATGCTCAAGGTGAGTACTCACCAGCGCAGAGCAGAGGGGCAGGATCACCTCCCTTGGCCACACTTCTGTTGATGCATCCAGGATACAGTTATCTTTCTGGGCTGAAAGGAACATTACTGGCTCATGTCCAGCTGCTATCCACCAGAACCCTCAAGTCCTTTTTGGAAGATCTGTATTCCAGGCTTTCATCTCCCAAGCTTGTACTAATAGTAGAGGTTGCCACAACCAAGGTACAAGACCTTGCACTTTGCTTTGCTGAAAGTCATGAGACATATCTGGGCTCACTGCTTGAGCCTGTCTAGGTCTCTCTAAATATTATCTTGTCTCTTGAGCATGTTGATGGCACCACACAGCTTGGTTTCACCTGCAAACTTGCTGAGGACATCAACATCCCACTGTTGATGTCATTGATGAAGATGTTGAAGAATACTGACTCTAGTACTGACTCCTGACCAACACTCATCACTGATCTCCAGCTGGACATTGAACCCCTGACCAGCACTCTCTGGAAATAATCTTGGAACCAATTCCTCATCCTTCAAAAAATCTCATTTGTTCCTGAAATCTCTACATATATTGGCAAGATCTCATATCATTAATTCCATTGAAGTCACTTTGAAAAATAGATATTGCAATATGTTTCATGGGAATGTAACACCATCAGGTACCTATAAGGAAATGAATTTCTCTCTAAGGAATGTAATATTGATTATGCAAGCAATTTAAAAAAAAAACAAAAACTGTACATGAATATAGAAATGATTTAATCTGACTTTAAATGGCAACAACTTAAATCAATAGAACAGCAATTTAAAAATCCAAAGCCAATGCTACCAAATAGTAATTCTGGCAGGAGTGTCTATCCTCACACCTTCTTCACAGATAAGCTAGTCTCATCTATTTTATTTTTTTTTTTGACTTCCCCCTCCTCCCATCGACCTCTTATTGGGCTTTTCTTTTTTTTCTGCTGAATATGAGTTTGAATGAACTCTGCAGTGTCAGACAGTAGTTCTTAATTCTTCTTACAGCCCTGAAATGCAAATGTATTGCACTTCAGATAGTCATAAAACTGAACAAATACTACCATAGAAAAAATAATTTTAGAAATGAGTTTAAATATTAATGCTCAGTATGCCTTATTAAAATTCTCAGAATTAAATAAAAGTGAGTGATATTTCCAAAACATTGTTTGCAGAAGAGAGCTTAAAGGCTAACAATCTTTTTTATGCAACAGGAAAATAAAACATACTTGAATCAGGAAGAAAAAGAGGTTCACTACACATAAGGCTACATTAATTTGGAATTCATCACATTCTGCATATTTTGGGTAATACTGCTAAGTCATAAGCCCCATGGCCAGAGGCTCCAGGAGAAAAATAATTCTTTCTTCTCTTTTTTTTTTTTTTTTTTAACAAAGAAGAGAAGAATCCTACATGACATTTCATTTTCATAAATCATTTTTTTTTCTGTTCAGTTCCTCACCTGTATGTCACCTGGGATGCCACTATTGTTGTAAACTGAAATAGAACTTTGTTGGAGCCTCTTAAGAAAAAGCTCTTCAAGTAAACATCTTGTTTCTCAATTAGTGTGAGTTTTAATTTAGCTTAATTTCTCTCATTTATTTGTCTCTGTCAGAATATCCCTGATTGAGTAATAGAGTTGATGGCAGCAATGTTGAGCTCTGTTTATGGAGGTCTTACATTCTCAATACCTTAGTAAATCTAAAATCTTATCCTCTTTTAAGTGATCAAACTTCCAAAAAACAGTTTGGTGGCAGTTTTGTAAATTTGTACATTGAAGCTTGGAGGCACAAATATATTCCCTGCAATTACTTGCATGCAGACTCTGACTTAGATAGGGGAACTACATAACATATAGTGAGAAGGGCAATTACATCAATGATACACACATAAAAGTGTTAGATTATGTGATTAAGGGCTAATGGCAATAAATACAAAGACTGGTGTAAGAACTCTAGTTACATTATGAATAGCAATGTCACACACTGAATTAGCTACTCTTTATCTGAGGAGAATGGTCTAACCATTGTACCAATAGGAGACCCTTAAAGAAAAGTCAGTGAAAGAAACAGTCTCCCTTGAATGCTGTGCAAGTCAGAGGGAGTGATTACCTACTAGAGTACACGATGTATTACATGATGCTGGGGAAGAGAATGTGGGTACCATGTTCAAGGTGTCTCGCTCCAATTTATGAGAGAGAGAGGAGGTTCTTTTTATCTGTATACGGCGTGAGATTAAGAAACAAGCAGCAAGAGGGAGACAGTCACCACCATGGATCCAGTGTGGTTCATATTTCAGTCACTGATCTTCAGTAGCGGTGGGTCAACAGGCGTTGTTCTGTTGACAGTGACAGTGACCGCAGCAGTGATGGCAATTTTTCAATGGTAGTACCAACTTATAAATAAGTCCAAACTGGTCGAGTCAGTTCTTTTTGGAGTGACAGCTCAAATCTAAAGTGGTTGAGTTAGCTCTCCTTGACGTGGCAGCTTTTGGCTCTGGGATCTCAGCAGAAACTCCTTTGTTCCTATCTTCCTGGCTTTGCCAGCAGATAAGAGGGAGCAGAGAGGCGCTAATTTGTATCTAGCCTTCATAGGATACAATGGCATCATCCCCCATTCTCCCATAGCAAGCTGAAGTTATTTGGTCACAGGCTAGATCTTCTGCCGGTAAACAGTCCTGAGCATTATCTTCCGAAGGTAAACAGCTCCAAAGAAATGCTTTCAAATGTAAAATTGTCCACACAGTGATATTGATTACCACACAGCAACATTCATCTCTCATCTCCTAAAGTCAAGAAATACCTCAGAAAGCAAGCTTTGAGCCAGAAAGCAAAGGATTCATACCTAAGGGAAGGACCAAAGGCATGAAAATGATCAAGGAACACCAAGAGGAGCCATATGTGTTCATAGGGGTTCCAGTAAAGGCACAGGTTTCTGTCTTTGCTGGCCTGTGTCGCTGGACAAATGTATGCGTAGCATAGTACATGCACACAAGTGTATGTAAAATTGTACGCACACTTGCTCATTGGAAATACCTGCTCAGCTTCACTGTTGACTTAAACTGAAAATACAAAACTGCTGCAGCATTACATCTAAGGGGAATCCACCTGCAGCCTGAAGTAGTCTGGATTTCACTGCATCTAACAGTAAGATTTCCTATTAAACGCTTATGAGTATAAACTATATTCTCAAGTTCCTTTTTCTGAAAAGAGTATCATTTGTTTCTGCGTAGCTTTGCACTATGGGTAAGTACTATGAAGAAGGTAAGTGCGAATACAAAAAGGGAAACCAAGGTGTGTGGAAGTTTTACCTATGAAGGATATACAATTTTCTTAGGTTTTGCAGAATATTCATGAAATCTTGTGCAAGCATAGTTATTTGCCCTTCATTTATCTGTCTTTTCCCTTTCTGCTTATGTTGTATCTTGGTATAAATGTTTTAAAATAAATGCTAATATTCAGCTGCACATTGTATTAAGAAGAAACATAAATACAAGTAGCATGACCATTTAAATGAACAGTACAATGCTCAAAGTAAAACATCAAAGTAGTAAATATGGAATTAAAATTGCCTTTAGTAGCAACAAGCAGTGTATTTGTCTGATTAATGTGCATATTGGCAACTGCTATTTCTATACACACAAAAAACTTTACTGCTGCTCAAATTAGTTCCTCTTATCCCCTTACATTTGCTATCATTACTCAGTCCCACACACATTTATATGAGTAGTTTCTCTTGCCAAAATATACATTATCCTCTCATTCTACACCGCTACTCCAAATTTAAATCTATATCTGCAGTCAGCATTTCACTCCTTCAAACACTAATGAACAGAATCCCTAGTATCTAGGTGTGAGCAGTGCTCCGTTGTACATCTATGATAAACTTCTGAATCAGACTGCAGCTTCTACATTTTCTTGGCCTTGTGGATTTACAAACTATGCTCATCTCATCAGAAACATTATGAAAAAATGAAGAATAATAACACAGCACTGTGTTTACAGAGTCAATCTCAATAGCATCAGCTGAGTCTTCTGATGAGTGCTAGTTCCATAAACTGATTTTGCACAGCCACACTCATTTTCTGCAGTTACCCTGAAATTAGAGCATAAAGCTAGATAGATAAATATACTGTGTTTTGTAGGAAAAAAAATACTTGATTCCACTTATTTTCACTGCTGGATTTAATCTTATCAGGTACATTATATGTGTGTGTGTGTGTATGTGTGTGTATGTGTGTGTATGTGTGTGCGTGCGTGTCTGACACTTCATATTTTGTAGATTAATGGTTGAGGGTTAATCAGATCCATCTTGACTTCAGCTTCCTCATTTTGGTTTGAAGATGTCACTAGCATATCAACTCCTTCAAATATAAACAGGATGTTCAAAAAAAAAAACCACAGAAACATTTAGTTCAGAGTAATGAATGTATAATAAATATCTAAAGCTGTATAGTTCAAGTAAATATATTTGACTTTCTGAATGCTTGACT